ATTCAAAGCTCACTGCAAAATTAATCATCATTACACCTTAAGAACTGCCCTTTCCTTTTTTGTAATTAAAAGGTTATAATTCCAGCAATCTTCACCATGGTGCACATTCTGCTTGACACTTACTACAGAATTTGCTTCTTTACAAGAAAAATGAATGTTTTAAATCCAGCTTTCCTTAAGAAAAATGTAGGCTCTACAGCTGCAGAACCACTCTTAGGAGCAAGAGCTCTCACCAGCTACTACAGTGACATCTACCTTCCTTGTGCGGAAGCCTGACAGAGTACATCTGAAAAGTGTGAATCAAATCCATTTGCTTCAAGAAGGTGAGAAAGGCAGAGCCTTCATAATATTTGACTTTTCTTTAAAGTACATGCTCACAATGTTACTGCCAAACTCAATTTTATTTTCCCAAAGCCTTTTTTCCCCACCTGAAGCTGCCTCTTGCTAGTTGGTCTTCTCACAAAAGAGTTAATTGGGTTGGAGTGCATGTTCCTGAAGTCTTCCACCCAGGCAGGCAGCTGGCTCAAGCACTAGAGATGGAGTCCAGTTTTCAGGGAAAGATACAGGCAAGCCAGAAGTATGGGCTGGCAAGCTCAATTGCTTGGAAAAAAGCATACAACTAAAGAGCTCAGACTAGGACTCAGTGAAGCACTCTGCACATTCTAGGCAGACACCACGAGAGTGTTGGAAGGAAAGAGAGGAAAGAGTCAGCCGGTCCACCTGGAAAATTCTATGGGTGTGAAACACTGGCATGTGGATCCAGACAGGGAAAAACGGGGGGGGGGGGGGAAGCAGCAAAGGGGAGAAAAACAGAACAATAAAATACTTAATCCTTTGAAGTAGTTTTCAGCATGTCTGGATGCAACTGATACGGATAATGTTGATTAATATAGTCAATTAAGACAAGTCATGAACCTAACACTGTGATGAAAACAGACAGGTTCTCCAGGCAGTGGATTAAATGAACCTTGTTTCAGAGTTTGGTCCTGTAATGGTTCTGCACACAGTATTTGTCCAATAGTTCAAACAGATCCATTTCCACAAATACAAACCATAAAAAAGTAAAACCTTTAAAACTAAAATGCAGTTTCAAGCCTTTGTTACTTGAACAAAAATTAATGGTGGTGCTAAATGTAATTAAAGTCTCAGTCTCTTAATTCCTTGCAGCTGCCTATTTTTATTCAAAGGAACCAGTAAGACTCTTGTCAGTTTGGGAAACAGTTTGTACTACAAGACTTTCAGCACTTCTTACACAACCCTGCTGAAAGTCAATTAACAAATATCAGAAATGAAGATCAAAAACACTCAGAAAATGAGTGTTTCTGTAAGAAACATCCATCTTTTGGGATCAGAAGTGTATATAAGCAGTGCAATACTAAGGCTAAAATAAATGAGGTGTTGTTAGTCAGGTTCTGGAAAAACATCTCTAACACAACTAAGTATTATTTTACCGTAATTGCACCAAAATGTGCAACAGGTGACTAAATCCATTAAAATACTGTTTCATTTATTTTACTCAAGTATATGAGCACTTCATAACATTAGAAACATTATGATATAGAGGTATAGTAAAGGTATGAAGTATTCTTGGTATGTTCCTCCACCTCCCTGCCGTGGCAGAACATCACTGGAGTGATCTCTTGAGTTCTGATTTATTTCCAAGAAGCATGACCTCCGTTTGTATCAAAGAACACAAAGATAAAGGCTCAGATTTAGAAAGACAGATGGGTTTCTATCCAGAGGTATCAGATACTGACTGATCCCAGCAGAAGGTAGGTAACCTAATACTTTTGTAGAACTGGACCTAAATTTAAACAGGAAATGAGAAACATTCTCTCAAGTTAGGAGCTAATATTGTAACACTGGAACTCTCCTTAATTAAAAATGAAATGAAATCATAATAACAAAACTGGCCTGTGGCATCTCCAGCAAAGAGCGAGCTCTTCAGATGTAACACTGAATGGAATCTGTGTAATTTTCACATGTACTAAAATGTCCAAAAACTCAAAAGCAAAAGACATAAAAGGAATTCAATGAATTATTCTCTCTCATGCGTGAGGCACTAATAAACTCAATGCTGATAAAACCCAACCATCTCAGTACCATTATCCCCCAACTATTCCAATGCTGACATCTGTTTCCTCTGTCTAAATCATTACAATTGATGAAAATAGATTTGGTCTAGACAAGCACAAGGAGAAACAAATGCCATACTAACACTCTCACTTGTAGCTGATGGAGGGCAGGATTAACTCTTTTTTAACTGAACAAAAAGCCTTCTCCAAGTAACAAAGCCACTTTTTCTGGCTGTGTAACTGTTTACAAACCGTGCCTAATCCAATATTAGCACTCACTTTTATGGTCAGAGAATTTGTTTTTTCAACATTTGGCAAAAATAAACTATGAAAGCATATATAAAGCAGGACCACAGCACCTCTAACAGCCACCACCTGCTCTTGCTTTTAAGGGCCTTTAAAGCATCTCATGCTGCAAAAACCTTTACAACTATAGGAAATGATCTACACCACCACCACATCAAAAAGCCCTTAGCTGACAGGTATGCACTAGCTGTATTTCCACACCAGAACAGCCTTAATATCTCAAAACTGGTGTGAATATTAAGCACTATATAACACAAGTCATGTAAGAAAAGCAACTTCTAGTGGTGCTTTCCACGTATTTCTACAAATGACACTCCTGATGACTTCTGCAGGAACATTTCTCTATAGCTTTTAAGAGAGCCACAGCTCCTAACCACAGAACTCGAATTCATGTGAATTAAGTCAGCGAGGGCTTAAAAGAAAAATTACCCAAAACATAACATTCTGTAGCAAAATATTTTGCTTTTGATGTCACATGATACAAATTTTTCTGCCCCATTTTCTCAACATACAGCAGTTAAGACTGAAAGGGAAAGAGAGAAATACTAATAAAAAGGGAAAATACTGAAAATAAGTTATGGAGATGAGTAGTTGGAGCTGCATCTTTGAAATGTTTTTGCAAATGAAGACATGTGTTTAATAGGTGGCTATACAAAGTGAACGGGACTGGAAGCTAACACAGATTTCCACAGTGACTTCACCAGAGATGGAATCAGCCTGCAAAACGTGAAACATTTTTTCCCCTCTTTCAAGCCTGGCAAAAAACCCAAAACAAACTAAACCCCTCCAAACTAGAACTGAAGTTTCCAGAACTGTACTCTTACAGTAACCAACCATAACACATTTCAGTCCGCAAAAAAGGTATTTTCAATGAAATACACCTTCCAGGGTAGGTACGTATTTGTAAAATGAATTTTATTTATACCATACCTCTAGTTTAAGGCAGATTTTAAGTGTTCTGATTACCAAGCTATTTTATTTTACATCTCCTGGGCATGTTTTTTTAATACATACACAACCAACTCCTAAGTTAACTGCAGTAATCATGGTTTGGGATGAAGAAAGCACAAAGTCAAAGCCAAATTAAAGGCACTCTGGCTTAAGCATGGGAATGTCCCCTCTCCACAGCTTTCCATTTTACATACACCTATCCCACATAAGTATCAGATATCAATTTATACTCTTAAGTGTTCAAAAAGTTTAATTTCAAGGCTATATTCTTCACAAGCACCTTGATCCAGTTCCAGTGCCAAATCCACCTTCCAAATATTTTCACCAGATACAAGCTCTACAAGTTCAGTGCATGGTCACCATTGAGAAGCTACTTCATTTAGATGTAGTCCAAGAAAACAAATACATAAAATAAAAGCAGCATGCTTCAGTGAATGCATCGCTTCAAATTCTTATTAAAATATGCTAGAAATATGCTCAAGATGTTTTTTTCTTCCAAAAAAGTTCAATTCCACCAAGTTTTCCATGTTTCTCAATTTTACATGAGTGAACACTTGGAATTTTAGCTGCACAAAACTAGGTGAGAAAAGCAAATGCTGATTTCACAAGGATGAAAATTCAAACTTGAATGTAACATGTGGATCTTTCTATGTAGACGAGTTGTACAAGCTGAATAGCAACAGCAAAAACCTCTGAAGTACTAAATGAGTCAAAACTGTAAACAGAGTAAAAGGATGCCCATCACTGAGCAGTGTTGCTGAGGAACAGCTGTCAACACAAGCCACGCTCACACACCACCGTATCTATCCAGCCATTCATAAACCTACATTTTTTCATATCTATACAAACAAAGACTGCATTTCTCTGTAAAAACTTAAAATGCCCCCCCCCCCCCCAAAAAAAGGTATGGAGAATATTTTTCCACTAGTAACATTTTTATGATTAAATCAGTAGGCACTTGACAAAAGCATTACTCTCCAGCATTACAGTAGTGGGCAACATTCCAGTCACAACTACGATGAACAAAAAGTCACTATAAAGAAATGTTTCTAACAATCAGAGTTTTGAATAAACAGTTTATAAAACCATGTAAAAATGTTTCTTCACTGGCTCACAGACAAAAAGCATTCTATAGAGTCAATTAAAACATCAGTTTTACTGCACAACTACCTACTCTGATTTAGAACTGTGAATAATACAGCAGAAGGAGTTGAAGGACAGTCCGTTTGCCCAGTAAACAACATTATGTGACTTGCATATGATCTTTAAATAGCATGTCACATGAACCAAGACAGGTATTAAAATCTTATTAGCAAGCAAATTTATTCAGATTTTTGTTTACGAGCATGACTTACAGCAGAATGAACCTTTATGCTTCCCCACTGGAAAGCTGGGAAACTATTTACAGTCATCCAGTTTTCCAGTAAGTTCTGCATATCGTGATTCACTATACATCCTGCAAATACATCACTCGGACAGCCAAGTGTGAAGAGTATCTGCTATGCTCCCAAGTCTCCTCTTAACTAACCATGTTACTACTTCAAGTATAAAACAGAGAAATTTACCAAGGCGAATATGGGGGGGGGAAGAGTTTTCGTATTAAATAAAACCACGCAAGAGAAAGAAGAGCAGAAAAACGAACCCAAGGCACAACTCGCACACACTTACATTTGCAGCATGACTTCGTTCAGAAACACGCCATCCACCAGCGCCACATATTCCTCCAGGTTGGTCCCATTTCCTCCAGCTAACGGTCCAAACGTCTTAACCTAAAACACAACCATCACCACCGTGACACTAACTCCACCTTGTTCTCCACCGCAAGGCGTTTATCATCAAACAATGAGCACATAAATGAGTTAAGGTGTGAGGAGAGATGAATGCTTACCCAGGTGACAAGAGGGCTAGACATGAACTGCTCCAAGAGGGGTGTGAATATCTCGTTCTCCATCTTACAAGAACACGGTTAACATCAACGTAGCTGATGTAAAAAAAACCTGAAGTCCTTTGCTGTAGCAACTCTGAACTGCTCCGAGGATTTAGCTGGAGGAACTGAACCCCATTTTTACCAAGCAATTCAACACCAACAAAAAGGGCGCTGGCAACTGGGATTTATCTTCTTCGTGCAAGAAAAAAGGCATCTGAAAGTCCATCTACGCGTATTTCAGCTTCTCCATTGAGGTCTCTCCCTTCCTACATACCGAAGGGGTAGAAGGACGGAAGGAAAGAAAAGAGGGAGGCTGCCTAGCTACTGGGATTCTGCATCAGACAAAAAAAAAGGAAGGAAGGAAAAAATCTGCTTCAGCAGCGGCAGCTCCTCAGAAAGGAAGGAGAAATCCCAGTAAAACTCTGCAGGCTCATCCTGCCCCCTCCCCACACACAAAAATCCAGAGGAGGGGAGGCAATGAGGGGCAGAGACCCCCAGCTCAGCCCCTGCACACGAGAGAGCCCCTCCGCTCCCCTCCCCGCAGTGGCACGACAGCCACAGAGGGGGAACCAGCCCCCGGCGGCAGGGATGAGAGGCTATTTTAACGCAGTTCCCTTTTCTACCCCCTTCCCTCTTCCACCAAACGAGACAGCGGCAGGACCGGCACACGCCGCCTCGCCCCACAACCTCGCCCTTCCCCCGCGCTGGCCGCTCCCCTCGGCCTCCGGAGCCCCCCGACCCCCTTCCCCAGCTCTAAACCCCCGTGTCCAGCTCTTCGCCTGCCCCTCTACGCCCACCCCTCCTCAGCCTCCCGCCGCACCAGCCCCGCTTCCCACTCCCTGCTCCCAGATAACGGCCACCTCGCCTCAGCCAGCCCCGCTGCGCCGCATCACTCCCGCCCCTCCTTCCCTCCCTCTCCCTCTGACGGGCGGCTCCAGCGCACGGATCCCTCCGCCCCTCGCTGTGTGCGCGGTACCCGGAGATCCCTCCGCCGGACCGGGACCCGGTCCCTTCCTCTCTCCCTCTCCTCGGGGGCGGGGCCAAAGAATGAAGCGGGGAAGGGGGGGGGGAAGCGCTGCAGGGCTCGTGCGCGGCGCGCTGCGGCGGAGCGCGCGCCCAACGGCCGCGCCGCGTGAGGGGAGGCGGGAGAGCGGCTTCGGCCCCCAGAGGAGGATGAGGAGGGAGGATGGAGGAGCGGCCGGGGGCCTGGCACACGCAGGTCTGCCCCTGGGGTGAGGGAGGTGCTGGTGGAGTCGCCTTTAAGGGAAAAAATGAGGGGTCGGTGAGGAAAAACTCGTTGTGTGGGAAGAAAAAAGAGGAGGGGGGGAGACTCCCGTTGGAGTCGCTGCCGCCCTTGAAGGGTAAAATGGGGGATGCTTCACCGTTGGGAAGCAGGACAGGTTTGCTGCTGAGGTGAAAGCCCGGCACACGGCAGGGACTGAGCGGGGAGGGGGCGACCTGGCCGCTGGAAAGCGAATGATGACAGCGATTTGCTCGCCTAAGCTATTGTCCTTAAGCTGTCTCTTGCTACTTGTGTGTCACGTCCCTGCATTGCCATACGGGACCGTGCCTGCTTAATAGATCATGGAGTTTATTCACAAAGCGTCTTGCAAAAGCTCCGAGTAAATCCGGCTTCTTTCCCATGTAGCACAAATTAAACTGCAGCAGTGTTTGACCAAAGACCTTTACTTTTATACGCACAGCTTAACAAAAAAGCCCAAACCACCACCACTAGACAGTGCAGTGAAACCGAAGTCCTTTTGGAGACCACCGCGGTAACAGATAACACAAGATTAAGCTTTTTAACCCAAATACTGGGTATGGTATTAATCCTAATGGTCCAAGAGTCGAAAAAAACATCCAGTCATGACCTTTTCCCCACATGTGGAGCTGAAGAGAATGTTTAAGTAAGTAAAACACTGGGAGAATAAATTACGGGGTTTGAATTATTAGTATGTAACATTTAAGAGTTGCATAGTTAAATGACTTTGTTTTTAATTCACACAATTAACACATTTGCAGCAAAAGTCATGTCCTTCCCTCTCAATCCAGATCTTTAGAGTGACCCCAGAGTCCTCCGTGAAACAAAAGAACTAAGAGGAAAAGTCTGCAGCCTTGGATCTGAATAAGAATCTGGTGATCCACGGGTGAAATAATTCTCAGTCAACTACTAACCCCTAAAGGCAACTACAAAAGCATTTTTGTAAGAGCCTGACTAACCAACCGCTGAGCTCCCTGTGTCTGACAACAGTATATAGCATGCAACAGTGCATGCAACATACCTGCCTCATCAGTTTGTTTCTTGTGGGCTCTGATGAGGCAGTAATGGCTTTGGGATGAAGCAATTTCTAGGAATTAAGAATCTGGGTAGCAGAAGTTGATAATCCACACAGTAGTCATATGCTAATAAACTGGTTCATGAGTTATAGAATCAGAATAGTTAGGGTTGGAAAGGACCTTAGGATCATCCAGTTCCAACCCCCCTGCCATGGGCAAGGACACCTCACACTAAACCATCTCACCCAAGGCTCTGTCCAGCCTTGAACACTGCCAGGGATGGAGCATTCACAACCTCCCTGGGCAACACATTCCAGTGCCTCACCACCCTCACAGGAAAGAATTTCTTCCTTATACCCAATCTAAACTTCCCCTGTTTCAGTTTGAACCCGTTACCCCTTGTCCTGTCACTACAGTCCCTAATGAAGAGTCCCTCCCCGGTTCTTGAAAAACATCCCGAAATTCCATAACATTGAGATAAAGATTTGATTAAACAATTTAGATGTTTTCACTTCCATCCACACCACCAGTTTTTGCATGTGTTCTCAGCGTTGCTGTTGGCCACTGTTCCTGCAGGAAGACTGTATCTTAGATAAATACTGCACATCCTTATGAAATACATTGTGCGTTGGTTTATCTCAGATGATTGGCAGTTCCTCATTCAAACTGGAGATCAGTACAAGAGATTTCAGAAAAGGTATCTAGAAACAGTCACGAGAGTTTTATTTTCGGTTTTGGTTTGGTTGTTTGGTTTCAAGTTTGGGGATTTTTTAGACTAAGAGACCTTGACACCTGTGAAGAAGCTTTGTGTCAAACTGAGTGTAAGAATACTTCCCTCATTTTTGGGTATATGCAAACATCAGAATGAGTTGCTGAAAGGGAAGTTATTTGCAATGTAGTAATAGTTAGAAAAAAATTGGATAATCTAGAGATTGTTCAGTTGCCTTTAGTGGTCCTCATGAAGGCACCAGCAGGATACCTATACAGACTAGCGACATTGTTTGCACCAGCCTTGACCAGTTGTGGGTCTCCTGGGCCAGCTCACTCATGCTCAGCAACAGAGCAATACAAACTAGTTGTTTAACGTTCAGCCAGCTAAGAGAGGTGAGAAGACTTCCTATAAGACAGGAATCTCCCTGCCTCTGATTGCTGAGCCTTAGACATCCCTTGAAGTAAATTAAAAGGTAGAAAAGTTTGTCTTTGGGTTGTTTTTCTGATCCCAAACTGAATGTGGAAGGCTTCCATTTTTAGCATAGCTGATGGGAGTCTTCTGGAGTACTGATCCAGTTAAAACTTAAACATTACAACTCTACTCCCAAGTGGCAGAGCAACACCACTATAACCTGTAGACTGTGATAGATTTGGCTGCATTGCTTTAGCACTTTTACCTGGGAAGAGTCTTAAAAGCAAGTTTGATGCTACCCTTACAGATGGTAAATTTAGGCACTTTGTTACTACAATTCAGTCCCTGCTGAGGAAGTTGGCTCTTTGAGTGAACTGACCCAGTGCTAGAGAAGGCTGACAGCAGGTGCTTGTGTCTCAGAGTGTGAGCTGACTGAAATCCTCCTCCTTCCACTCCTTCACCCCTGAGGTGGAGCATCTGGGTTTAGTTTTAATAGTTTCAACCATTCTAGGAACATGTATTTGGGAATATTTTGGAACTAAAACATTATCCTATTTAAAATTTGGAAAAATGTACAAAGAACAGTCTTGTTCTTTCACATCTCCACTCTCTAGAATGGATTATTTAATGCAGTTAATATTTAATACAGAGTGTGGCTTACTACTGCTGAAAGAGCAGATTCAGACATTAACCTTGTTACTTGAAGTGTAATGTTTGTTCTTCTACAGATAAAGCATCGCCATCTATTTCTATAGCATCTCCTTTGGTACCACAAAGACTGTACACAGAAGACACTGAAAACATAACCAATCTGTTCCTAGACTCCAGATCTGCAAATTACAGAACTACTTTATGGTCTCACTTTAACTTGTTTTCCTCATAGCATAATTTCCTGTGCCTCTTATTGCAAACTAAAGATTGAATGATTAGGACACAAAATGATGCCTTAAGTCTGCAGACAGCAGAAAAGCACAATTACATACAGCCCCATTTACCTTGTCAGAGTTTGTTGAAGGATTTCTGATCAGCCCTGCCCACGCTGAGCAAAGGGAGGGGACTGTTCTGGGAGAAGAGTGTAAACAATCTACCCAGTGTACATCTGATGCAAAACACAGTGGTTTTCTCTTCCTCTCCTACGTATGAAAGGAAGGAGGTGGCAGAAGGCTCTTGCTGATGGTTTTTTGCCTGTGGATCCACAGTGCTGGGTTGCTGGACCTGTGTCTGATGAAGCTTCAGAAGAGCAAAACAGGAACCAAGTGGGAATGCTTGGGATCCACAGCAGCATTCTGAAAGTTCAGTCAAAATCAGAGTTCTCTGAATATGGGCTGACTCAACAGGGCAGTGGCTAGTGAAAACTGCAAGCTAACAACAGGGAATTGTCCTTGTCTTATGCTTGCTCCAGGAGAAACCTGTTTCTCTATCAAATCAGAAATAGATATAAAACGAAGAGTAAGGGCACTAAGAGGTTGAGTCTTTTAAGAATGGCCAGGAATTTCCGAAAGTCCCACAAGTACAGTAGACTAAAAGTTACTTCTTGTCTCACAGGAGTGGAAAGAAGGGAAATCCCTCCATGGCATGAATAACAAGGAAATTCCACCAAAATTCTTGAAGATTTCTTCCCCGCTACTGTGTCTGCTCTGATGTGACCAAAATTCCCCATCAGCTTTTAAGGGAACTTTCCGAGCCAGAACTGTAAGTAACCTCAGTATTTTGAGTGAAAAATGAAGGACAAAAGAGTTGGGGCTTAGGGAAAGTGGCTATTTTCCATTTGAGGATTTTTACAGATCCCAGGCATTTTAAAGTTATGTTAAATTACACCAATTAGCAAGAAATAGGTATAGAGATAGCAGACAAGGAGCATCCTGTGCTGGTATCTGTAACCCAGAACAGCTCTCTGCATCAGCATCAATGCAAATGCATCAGAATTTCCTGTCAGGCAGAATGTTAGTTGCACAAACAGGTATTTACCATTTCCAGCCATGCCTAGGTAGCATATACACATCAATCTTATTCCTTTTTAGCCACGTGGATATTGAATTTTCAACTGAATTACAATTAAAAGTATGATCTAGCACATTGACACAAACCCAGGGGTGGCTTCCAGTAATGCTTTGTTGTTAAAATAAACAATGACTCGATTATAATAAGTTCAAACTTGAAGTAATTAACTATGTTTTTTGAGTACATTGCGTCTTAAGAGAAAGCAATGCAGTATATTGAGGGGGTAGAACTGTAACAGTAGAGCCAGATCCTAACTCCTGCTGTATCACTGAATTGCACATATGCCAAGTCTTAATTTACTCGAAGAACTACTTGTGTACTTAAACTGTGAAACATTTGGTGAGAGTATTATATTTAATACTGCTGTTCATCTGAAGAGGGAGGTGTTTGCAGCTTTTTGGTTCCTCTTCAATCAGTTGGACTGGCAGAATGTTACTGTGGCAAGTTACAGTAACATTCTGCAAGTCAGCTGATGTGATCAAAAATAAGCAACAAGTATTTATCTTCATTTTTAAATTTAATAGCCAATCCTAAGTCTTCCCATAGGCTTAGACTGCTAAGAGAATGTCAGACAAACACTGCCTTACAAAAAACCTCTTAGTATTACAAACCAGATCTTCTTCCTGCTGCCTTGGTTTAGCCAATTAAAATGTGTGTTTGACTTCCATCTGCAAACTATAAAACAGTCTAATTGTAATAATGTTGCTTATGAACTCCCTTTGTTATTTGCTGCATATGAAGAAAATATTGGGGTTTTCTTAAAAGCAAGTGTTAAGCATTACAGCAAGACAAGAGTTACCCAGGACAATAGCTTTGGTACTAACTCCTGTTGTGGCCAGTGGAGTGCAACTGAGCAGAAGCTCTTGCTGACATGCCTTCTGTCAAACAAGTTCCTGCCAGTACAAGTAGTGTTCCTTACAAACTGGGTCAAAAAGATGAATTACAGGACACTCTATGCATTTCCTCTGACAAGGAGCAATGTGCTGCCCAGTGTGCTAATTGTTAGCTATTACAGCTAGCTGTGTATATGCAGATCAACAGCTACAAAAGCAAGGCTCTTTAATTGTGTCAACAGCACTGTGCCATCTTGGATCCCTACCATACAGAAAGGGTGAGCTGATTTTCTTCTCTAGCATTTTCCCTTAGTATAGACACTCTCGCCATTCAGCTGAACAAAACAGAAGAGGTTTTGTATTCCCTGTGAAAGACTTTCTTACCTCTTCAAGCTCCAGTTGCCTCAGTTTCATTTTATAATGACATTCAGTTTGCTTTGCTTCACGCAGCACCACGTTACTGGTAATTGCCTCCCTATCCTTTGCCACAGCCTCTTACTGGTGCCTCCCTACTTTCATCCACGTTTTTGCAGTCTTAATGTCACTTGACCCCAGTAGCTTGGGCAATGCTGGCATGAAATCCATATTTATCAGCTCAGCAGAGGTTATTAGCTTCCATTTCACAGAGCCCTGCACCACCTTTGATGTTAGCATGTCTCATTAGAGAGGCATTCCTCACCAGCTGGAGATGGTGTTTAGGATCTTCCCAGGGTCAATAAATAATGAACTGGATGGAATACATTTCTGTGTTTGAGATTTCAGTTTGTGTACATGGGCCTAGTTATGTCCACAAGAAGAATGAAAAATATACAGCACTAAGAATATAACTGTAGTAGAATAAATTTTGGTCATATCTGTTATTCTGAGCTCCCTCCCTCAGGATTATCTATTCATTTTCATGTCCAATTTTACCCCTGGTTATTTGTCAAATTATTTACGTCTGAAAACAGCTTTTCTCTCTATGAAATACCAGTGAAACAATTAAAAGCTTTTAAGCTATCCCTGTTTTGCCTTTGGGGAAATCCTTTGACAAGCTTGTACAGCAAGAAAACACAGATGATTGATGTAGAATGATGTAGAAGCTTCTTCTACACCATTACATTAAAAAAAAACACTGATATTAAAATATTTGAAGTAATTAATAGAAAAAATAAAGGTCACAAAAATAACTAAAGATGGATTAAAAATGTTAATGAGACCTACTAGATAGCATTCCTGATTAAGCTTCTTGCAAGTGTGGATCATAAGCTACCTACAACTGTGAACAGCCTCTTCATTCACACCTCTTTCAGAAGCCACTGTTAAGACCCCTTTGTTTGCATTATGTCCAGATGGTTCAATTCACTGTAATACCAGTTTAATTGTGAACTCAATTTAATTGGAGATGAACATAAAATTGGAATTCTTACCTATTTCTGTTTATCTTTGGAAAATATGCCAGAAAGGTTTTGTCCTTATTTTGGCTGGGATCGAGTTAATTTTCTTCCTAGTGGTTGGCACAGGCTGCTGTTTGGATTTAGGATGAGAATAATGTTGGTAACACACTGGTGTTTTAGCTGTTGCTGAGCAGTGCTTACACTAAGTCAAGGACTTCTCAGCTTCTTACCCCAGCCCACCAGCGAGGAGGCTAGGGAGCATGAGAGGGGACACAGCCAGGACAGCTGACCCCAACTGACCCAAGGGATATTCCAGACCATATGGTGTCATGCTCAGGATATAAACTGGGGGGAAAGCTGCCCTGAGGCTGCTGTTCAGGAACAGGCTGGGCATTGGTCAGCGAGTAGTGAACAACTGCACTGTACATCCCTTGTTTTGCAAATGCTTTTATCATGATTAATATTTTCTCTTCCTTTTCTGTCCTATTAAACAGTCTGTATATCAACCCCAAAATTTTACCTTTTTTGCCCCAGTTCTCTTCCCAGTCTCCCCAGGGAAAAGTGAGCGAGCAGCTGCATGATGTTGAGCTGCCTGCCAGGCTAAACCACAACACTCCTTTCTGGCACTCAACATGGGACACAAAGGGTTGAGATAACAACAGATCCAACTAGAACATGTTAAAACAAATTTGTTACAAGCATTCATTATATTAGTTTAGTAGTCACTGTTGATAGCTTAATTTAAATTGTCACATTAAGTTTAATAGCTGATTTATTTGTTCTCAGAGTAACACTTGTTCTCAGAGTTGCATTAGTAACACTTTACTTGCTGTATATGTTCCTTGTGCTGTTTATAACCTCTGGGCGCAGATTAAGGTTATCATGTTGATATCCTGTGTAACACTGGTTTATAATACGATAAAATTACTGGTCATGAGGCTAATCTGGTATTTGTACTCAGCATTCCCATCATCTCTGTACTTTAGGAACCATCTCTTGGAAATTCCTACTAAGAAGGGGAAGGAAGAAGTGAACAGGGCACGATGCCAGAAGCAGGGCCATCACAAGAAGAGGAGGAGGAAGAGGCAGCACTTGAACAAGATGGTAACCACCTGATCCCTACCCCTGAGAGGGCTGCAAGATATGGTAAAAGATTTTGGCTATAGTCTAGGCAAGCAAATTGTCATCTGGCTGCTCCAGTGCTGGGATAATGAGGCCAGGTAGCCTGGAATTAGAGGGTAGGGAAGCCAAGCAGCTGGAATCCCTTTGGAAGGGGCATTGACAAAGTGATTGGAAAAGGGGCCAAGCACCCAGCCTCTGGAGACAACTCTTGTTGAGCACGAAGGTATCCCTTCAAGGAAGATGTTATATGTCTCCCAGGCAAGCAGACAACCATGGAGAGAGGTATTCAGTACCTGAGGGAGTTAGCTGTACTGGAGGTGATTTATGATGAGCTAGCAATGAGCTGTTATCCAAAGATCCAGATGAAGTCCAGTGCACACAACCCATGTGGCAGAAGACTTAATGGAACACACCATTGTGTGCCAACTCATTGGCAGTAATGGTCTGGAAAGATGGAGAGGGATGAACGGTGGATGAATTGGCTGGCCAACTCTGGCAATGTGAAAGAAGTCTCTTCCTCTCCACAGGCCTGAGTCTTGGCTGTGGAGATGTTCCAGGAGTTCTAACAAAGAGGATATGCCCTACTCCCACTTGGACAACCAGTATCTCAGTTATCACTCTGCTCAGGAGAGGATATAGTGGGTACACACCACAGGCCACCCTGTGTTTTACCTGCAGGACCACTGAGAGAACATGAGGAAGTGGGATGAAAGAGTCTACCTCGACCCTAGAGACATGGTACATGAGTTGCAAGGAAAAGCAATTAAGAAGAGGGTACTTCCAGGAAAATTGTTGCTCCAGTTTCCAGTGGGCAGTTTTCCAGACAGAGTAAAAGCTCATCTTACTTCCATAAAGGCACCTCAGAATTCAGAGCAGGTTTTGTGGACACTAGGGCTGTTTTCAGTAGCACACAGTTACCAGAAGATGTTCATATCATCTTCACTCTACTAAATCTACTGCATGAGTTAATGGTGCATAGTAACAACACCCAGATTTTCTGTGGCCTATTAGGTGTAATCTTCAGAATGAACTCCAAGGTTCCTCCTAAACATACAATCCCTTTGTGATAGCTACCATTATACTGAGTAGAAAAATAAGTAGAAGCAGTTTAAATAATAACCACCATCACATGTTAAATTTCAACTCCTTGGCCATTTCCCTTTCTCTTGTCTTCTGATATTTTACCATGGCATTTTGTACCCAAATCTACCTCATTTTTAAAATTTGTATTTAAGTATTTTTCTATGACAGTTAAAAAGATTTACCTTAATAACCTGGGTAAGATTATAATTCCAAATATTGTATATATAGGTCTTGATTCCTGCTTGATAATTCTTGTGTGGGTCAGAAAGGGTTTATTTTTGCTTAAGATTTTTACTTTAAAATATTAGTAACAGGTCAAAAAATGCAGCAAATTTTAACCATAAGAGAACATTGTAGCCCTTTTCACAGGGGTTTCAGAAAATGCTATACCAAAATAACAAATGGTTCAAAATTCATTCCTTATTATCCCTTTCTGCTACTATGACCTATAGGATAGATCTGATGATGGAAGTCCACCTTAACAGTCTACCTTAAAAAGATGAGATTATTCAGTTTGTATGTCTGTAAAAGGAAAACACCTTAACAAAGAATGGTTTGTTGCTGACCTGCAGCTGGTTGCTGCATTTCATCTGAAAGCCTATTTAAGTCTTTAATGGTAACATTTATTCCCTCACCCTCAGAGGAGGATTTTATGAACAAAATTAATTAACAAATGAGGATAGCCAATTTGGTGCTATAGATTAGGCTGACAGTCACCCAAAAGGGGTGTTGGCACTAATAATAATGATTATCTCGAAACATCAAGAGGTCTTCTGACTCTGATGAGCTCTCTGCTGGAGCTGAAGCTTTCGTCCCAGGGTGATGCATGTGGCGCAGGGCAGAGCCGTTAGTAGCTGGCACAGAAGCTGCTGCAGAGGGCTCAGATGCTAATAGTGGAAATAGCCTACAAGTAACCTCCAACCCAAATGATCAGCATGTGAACCCTTGATACTCCAACCAATTCATCCATAGTTCCATTAAAAAGATGATGGACGTGCCTCCAGCTTGTGAGGCTGTTTTTTAATGTTTTAGAGCTGATCCTTCTACCCTGAATAGAGATACACTTGCAAATAATTCTGATTGGCTTGGCTCCGTAACTGTTACACTCCGAGCTCAGCTCTTTTGCTCTGTCGAGCTCTTTCTTTTACTGCTTCTGTGTTGTCCTGATGCAGTTAAGTGGAAGCATGTAACAGTGAAGTATTAGAAGCACTGTAGTTTCCTTTAGCAACAGGGCCTGTGTTTAAGAAATTAGTGAGGCATTTAGGAACTGCTAATCCTCCTTGTGAAGAATACAAGGCTTGTTTCTTCGAAGGAATTTCTCACTCAAGGGCCCAAGACATAGTTCAGTTTTACCTACTAAATGTTCTTACAGCAAGCCAACAGTAAGAAAGTAAAAATAGAGGTTTAATGTCATTCTCTTTCCTTATTGCCAATTTTTCTTGGGCTGTTTTGTGATGGCATTATTAGGATAGATAGTACCATCACATCATATTTATGTGTCTGCTCTTTGAAGAGCTAATAATTATCCCGGGTCTTGACAACAAAGAGCAATCTGACTGTTCCAGAGGTCGTAAAAGAAGCTGAATAGCATCCAGATTTAGATACAAAATGCAGTCAACTATCATGGCTTTGGGAAACAGACACCAGGTAGGAAGCTTCTAAATATATTCTTCCTATAATTATTACATTTTTCACTATGGGTCTGCACAATCTAAGTTTCCTAGTCTGTAGCAGCAGGAAATCCCATAATATATATAGTGACAGTCGATTCTCCCACTGTTCTTACACCCAAAAACTTGTAGCTGCGGAAGGAATAAAAACAGTGAAAGAGGTAAGTCAAGTAAATATCACATTTCTAAATAATAAGCCTTCATTTCTAGTATGAGCCTCTTTTAAGTGAAAATAAGAACTCTGGCTGTAGACATTATATAACTAAATTTACTTTATACCAGAATTATAGGAACAAAGATCCTTTACCTTATGTAACACTTATTTAATATTTCTTATTTTATCTTAGCTTATTTTAACTGTGACTTGAAAGTCATTCTAGAAGCTCCTTAAGCTTTTCTGCCAATGTAGAAAGGGAAATCAAGATGAAACTACACCTACTCTATACTTTGCTTAAACCAAGAGTGCCCCCTTGAGAGTTTTTTTATACATGCATAGGACTAGGTGGCTAGAGGATGACCAAGTAGAAGGTTAACTAAACGTAGTACTTTTACATACAAATAAGGCCCAGAAATCTGCACACACTTCAGATATTTCTACAGATTTTCTATTAGGCTACTGTGGATGTAAACAAGCCTTGTTGCTTCCAAACCTCTGTATAATGTTGGCTCTACCTAAAAATGTATAGCTACATATAGGACAGATTCTGCAGTTTTGTATTGAGGATGATACTTGTAGGACCACTGAAGCAGACAAAGTTCTCAGGCCTTCTCCTTCACCCTACTAATGCTGATGAGGCACTAACTGGACTCGGGATACATCTGTCTTCAGAGCTCAAGTGTGCCTGTGGCTCCAAGTTCTGCTCAAACTGGAAACCAATAAACCACTTCAAATAGTGGGAGCATAGCTATAGCAACTCTGGATTCACCTCTGCATGCTCACTGGGAGCCCCCGGCAGGTTTGCACAGCCTCTGCTGTTACAGCTTAGTATCTACAAGTGTCTCAGCAGATTCATTTAAACATTGCTTGGCACATCTACACAAGCTCTTATCACATTGCCAAATAATTATAGAATCACAGAACAGTTAGGGTTGGAAAGGACCTTAAGATCATCCAGTTCCAACCCCCCAGCCATGGGCAGGGACACCTCACACTAAACCATGCCAACCTGGCCTTGAACACCGCCAGGGATGGAGCATTCAGAACCTGCCTAGGCAACCCATTCCAGTGCCTCACCATCCTAACAGGAAAGAATTTCTTCCTTAGAAATTATTATGTATAGATTATGTATAGATACCATTAGAGGAATATGGGAAACAATCATTGAGAGCAATGATTTCCCAAACACACACTTTTTAAGCATTTACCATGCTATGAAATATATAGAAAAAAAATACTGCTGATCTTAAACTTTTAAGAGCTGCTGGTGTTACAGGGTGTGCCTGCATAGGGGAATGGAACAAATTAATTGCACTGAGCAATGAAAAGATCTTCATCCACAAGATGCAAACCTCAGTTTGCAGCAACTGGCAAGATACTACACAGACCCTTCGTTAGAAAGCAGGTATTTGATGGTGTAGTAAGTTGGTGCTAACATTCATATCAATGCCTCAGAGCTATACATTAGTTTGCAGTCATCCACATGCTTTAACACAACTGCCCTTCTCATGAAACCACAGTTTGCTTATGTGACATGGTTTAGTGGTGGCCTTGACAGTCCTGGAGTAAAAGTTGGACTTGATAATCATAAAGGTCTTTTCCAGCCTAGTTGATTCTATGATCTTGTGTCATGATTAGAGGTCCACCATCTCTTGTATTTACAGGACTCACATTGGATTTAAAGAGTCTTATGCAAGAGACGAGCTGAGCCCTGAGGAAGAAGCAACATGCTGAAGTAGACCCTGATAACAAATCTCTCAGCCCCCTTATCTGCCAGCTGTCAGTTCTTATGCACACCCAAAGATCCAGCTCTGCAGTTGGTTGTTGGCATTTATCTTGTGACTCATGCCATTGGCATTACACTTCATGATACAGACCCAAAGGAGACCTTAAAAAAAATCCTAACAGATACTAGCATGTTGGGTAAATGTGAGATTTTTCTTCCCTAATCAAGCATGCAAAAGTGGTGACTACAAAGGATTCTCTTTAGAATCAGTCTTGCTCTGTGTATCTCAAGTCATCAAGTCAACCAAAACATCATTCAGCGAACTATCACCTTATCATTTTGAGCTCCCTGTCCCGACTTCTTAGTGTCAAGCCCACTCACTCATGTATTTGGTGGTAAATGCACTGAGGGCCTGGCACAAAAGCCATCACTACAGTCTTCAGGATTAAATAATACCTTTTTTTCAATGACTTACTGAGCTCCCATCCCATCCTTTCATATTGGTTCAGCTTCAGTTTGTCATTCTGGAAGTACTTCTCTTTCTTATCCATTCCTCCCTCTGGCATCCTGGATTTACAGATGAAAACTCTACCACAGAAGGTGGTAGAAGGAGCTAAACATTATGTGAAGATCAGTTTGAGTCAGTCTATCATCTTATAGACCAATGTACAGCACAGAACACCACATGAGGCCTTTTGGAGGCATTTTCCGAGTAAAAAGTATTGTATTTTATCTGTACAAACCTTTCAAGACATATTTTTCTCATATAAAATTATTCTGGCACAAAAATGAATACAAACAGCAAGGAGCCAATAATATTAATATCAAACATACTAAATTCCATTTATTTCACTGAAAACCATGTGTATATCTGCAGGGAATGTAAAATTGAATTTAAGTCCAGGAAGTGCTCTATTACTGCTCTGGCACTACAATGCAGAGCTGCTTTGTTGTTTGCTCTAAAATAGTAAGCTAAGCCTATCCATCCAAGTAAAGTGTCAGGAAGGAGTCTTCTGATCTGTAGCACCAAAATATGTTTTGCTGGTCTCTTGTCACCTTTCCCAAACAAGCACTTTTTCTACTTTATCAAACCAAACACATTATAGGTATTAAAACTCCCAGCAGAGTCTCAAATGCAATTTCTAATATTCTTCCCCAGCCCTTGTCCTCCATCCAGTTCTCATCATGGCCTAAAGTCCTGCCAGGATTTCTGCAAGAGTGCAAAAGCATGGATTAACTTCACCCCATGAGCCCCAGAGCCCACTTGCTTGCCAGCCCACTGTGGTAATATGTGAAACAGCAGAACACCAGAAAACCTTGCAGAGAGCTGGCTACTGCAGCCAAGTCTGGCAAACATCTCAAGAGCTGATACTGAGCTCGGAGGAACCTTGGGTGTGGTGGAATCCCAGTGCTGGGAACTAAGAAAACATCATAAATGTGCCCCCAGCCCCCAAACAAAACAAAAACCTCAACCCCAAAACAGTACCCCCCCCTCTTACCAAAACCAGTAACAAAGAGGGAAGGAATTCTGAGCCTAGTTTACAAGGTCCTCAAAGCCTTTTCATACTAGGAATAGCAGTTTATCTGAGAATGTCCTATCAGCCTTTCTGCCTTCAGGCTATTGAAAACAAAAGCTAGTTGCTGACCTCTGATCCCCTCACCTGAAAAGCAAGGTGTCTTATCAGTCTTCACCCTCCCCCAAGGTAGAACTAGGACTGGAAAGAAAAGGCCCCAGTAAAATCTTTAAGCACCAAGAACTTCATTTCCTGTCTTCTTTCCTACAAAATCCAAATAACCTGCTTGGTCACACCTTTGTAAAGAGTATGTGGAAGTTTTATACACTTGCTATACCTAGGACGTTTGATAAAGTTAAAAAAGCATGTGTAAAACAGACAGTGGATAAAGTTAAATCCTAGGTAATGACAGCATAGCTCCCAGCTTTGAGTTCTACTGTGAGGAAATCCATGATAGTCACAAAATAACCCACAAAGTTACACGCAGCATCACTTGATAATCAATGTTCTATTAAAAAAAAAAGAAAAAGTTGGAAACTATGCTGTTTTTAAATCATAACATTAAAGCACAAGTAAAAATCCCATATCCTGAATGCACAGTCCACAAATTTAAACTACTTAATAAATAACTCATGGTGCTTCCATAAAAATCAACTATGAAAAGTTACACAAAGCTTAATGAAAACCATGCACGCACTGGAATTCTACAGTCAGCCTGTCTTCCAAGGAGGAGCACAAGCAGCCCTGCTTAGGCTACTATCAGTTAGTCTGTTATAAAGTTGTGAAAGACTCCGTTCTTCATGTCTCAACCCTGCTTTATCGTGCCTTCCTGTTGTCACACGTACTGATATGGTAGTTTCACCGGGATATTGAGGGAAATAGTGCTCAGCAGCTCCCAGCCCTTTGTAACACCACAGCCTCTTCTCTCTCTCTGTTCCAAATGGGGCCTCTGCTATAAACCGCATTAAGCAGCACCTTAGAGCCCTGTAAAAACCTTATTGAGCAGTGCCCACCAAACCTGCAAGCTTTGGGAGGCCGACTGCAACAGTGATGAGAGCCAATGTGTTGGTGCAATGAGTTTATAGTTTATGAGCTTTGCTTAGATCTCCAGAAGTCACCCCGGCACTAGTGTGTCACCCTGAACATGTGGCTTAATCTCAACAGTGAGCAGCCACAGCATTAACATGGAATCTCTTCCACACCTGCAAGACAGATAGGACACATTGGTGAATGGGATAAAGTCATGCTCCCCAGCATATGTCTTTGCTAATTTAATCTGCATAATTCCTCCAATATCTGACTTGCTGCAAGTTCTGTACATCTGAAAGCTATGAAACAGGACACACTATGCTCTATACAAAACAATTCCATCTGTATCTCCACTGAAGTATTTCTTTCTTGTATATCCAATTGATTTTTGTGAAGTGTAAAGCACAGTTTCTGTGAAGCACTCTGATGCATTGTCCTTTCTGTTTTTCCTGGCTTTTATAGTCAACAATGCAATGCAATTAGCCAAAGCTCTTGGGGGCAACTGAAACATGTGGGTAATCAAAATCAGAAATGCAAACTCTTAGGTCCTTCCAAAGAGCCCCTGGAACCAGCTCTTTCGTCTTTGCAGTACTAAATGCCTCCTTGGAAGCCAAACCCTGTGGTAAGACTGACTCAGACCAAACTCATGTCCCTAACTGTTGCCTCCAAGACTCTTCCTTGCACTATGTGGAGTATGAAACTCCAAGGCTGAGCAGCCTTCAGATCTCTTCTAGTTTCACTTTCCATATATCCCTAGGTTACACTTCAGTAATCCCAAGATTAAAGTCTTTTTTAAGGAAAGCTCTAAAAAGGAATTAAAATGCATATTTCCTAGAGTGTTAACAACGGAAGAGAAAATGAAACTAGCTGGTATGTAATAGAAGCCTTTCTGCTTAGCTTCCATGCCACTTGGTTGAAGATGTCAAGAGAGGACTTGCATAGAAAGTTTCACAACCTCAGGACCACACAAGATCTTTCCCCAGAATCCACACACAACTACTGAGGCTACAATTTAATTAACTATTATTATCATCAAGGACTTGTGGCAGTCACATTCCCTGAACTTTTCCTACTCTTACTTTCAATAAGTGTCTTAGCATCTGGCAATTTATTCCTGTGTTCTTTTAGATTAGAACATGGGACAGAGTGAAAGTTCGTTCAACTTAATGAATTTAAACCAATTTATCTGCTTTTAATGCAATTAGGAACATAAGTTTTCTAGTTAGGCAAAAATTAAACCCAGATTCATGCTTCAGTCAACTTTAAAGGAGTTCAAATATTACTGTGTTGTCAGTAAGGTTCAGTGCAGACTATGACCAAAGCTAAGACTGTGTTAGTTACTAATTTAGTCCAATAAAGTAAAATCAGGAGACAGTGCTGAGAATATCATGTACTGCAGTTTTAGCTAAAGGTCATTTTAGGCTGGTCCCCCTGAACCAGCTCACACATGGTTCAAAGCTGGCCCAAGAACCAGCCATTGGAACTCTTTAGGAAGTGATGAGTATTTGGCAGAGTAAACCAAATTAGCACACGCTCGGTGGAGATTCACTTCAAAACTAAAATCATGCTCCAAGCCTAAATACTTAGGCAGATTAGACTGGGTAAGAGATATCTTCATTCACATCCCACAAAACTGACATACGTTCAAATAAACCTATGCAGAAGTGTGCATTTTGCCCATCTGAGGAAAAAAAGTAGTATTTGTACTATCTAAAGAATTCCAGCACAGTCTGTCACTGAGCTTGGAGCCTCTGTGACATACTCACTTCCTGCTCTAATCTGGTTTGAGTAGCAGAGAAGCAGTGAACAGCTCTCTTCATGAAAGGCATGAACAACGGCTATTTTCAACACTGAAGTCTGAAACCCCTTGTAGAGTATACTTAGCTTGTAAGTGTAAAGCCATTCTGAACATTCCATGAGGAACAATACTGTGTTTGTGAGATACCATATTTGTGAAAGGCTTTCATGATACCAGTGAGCAGAGGTTGCAGTAGACTTGCTTAGATTTTGGATGCATCTAAAATAAAAAAACAGAGAGCAGCAGAAGTAGAGCTACTCTAGAGGAGTTTGAGGCCATAACCATGCAAGAGAGGACACAGACCTTACCAGCCAGGGTACAGTTCTGCAGCAAACAAGCAGGCCAAAGCTGGTGATAGTAAAGGATAGCGACACCCAAAAAACAAGCCTCAGACAATTGAGGAGAATGAGCAGAACCAGAAAGAACCTCAGGAGTAGGGAAAGACTGAATTGAACACAAACCTACCTCCAGCAGAACTCAGACAGCAGAACCAGTACTGACCAAGCTCAAATGGGGCTCCCAGGCCTGGCTGGAGGGGTGGAGGGACAGGTTGGAGGGCCAGGTGAGGCTGGAAAGGGTGATTAACATGCACGCAGGGCCCTGGCAATAGGGACAGATCAGCTGAGATCAATTTTATCTACTGACAAATATAACTAGAAGTTGCTTGATAGCTTCTAAATCCAAAATTTGAAGGTCTGACACATGCTTCCGTGATGCTGGGTAAATAAAAGTTATTAACACATCCTGAGAAAGTAATACATCTGGGAGCATCTTTTTGTTAACATAAGACTGCATTAGTCAAATGAAGAAGTTGGTTTCTGACTTCAAACAAAAAATTTAGACTGAAAAATATGTTAAAGTATGTTTTAGGATGTTACCTTCATGCTACTTCAGTTAGGATTCTATATATTATATATACTTTCTATATACTATATATACTTTCTATATATACTATATATTAACTAGGTGATTCACTAATGTCAAAATTAATCAGAATTTGACAAAGTAAATTGCAGAGTTACATTGACCTATCACTCTGTGTTACATGGAGACAGCTTTGATCTGTGTGCTGACCTTCAGATAAGATCTCTGCCCAAAACTGAATCAAACAGCCAGCTCTGGTGGAGAAACAATGCCGTGAATAAATCTTGTCAAGAAAACATACAATTGCTGTTCAAACTGAGGTTTCTTATTTTAATTTTTATTAAAACAAGCATCGTATTATTATATTCTTTGAATCCCCTGGGACAGTATCCTCCTGTTACCACTAGATTCAGGATGGACCTGTGATTTTTCAGGGCCTGAATTCCCAGAGGCAGCAACTCTTTCTGTCTTTCTCCTAACACTCTCTGACAGCTCCTTCTGTGGCAGGGAAAAACAGATTCTTCGTCTCAGTTAAATTCTTGCTGAAGGAAACAGCACTTTGTAGGAACAGAAATCCTATTTTAACCTTTACTTGTGTTTAAAATATCACAGTGTATTTGTGCTCAGGATTTATGTTCAAATTCAAAAGGAAAATGGCAGCATTCAGAGCCATCTTCAGAGTCCTTCACTGTAACCCACTTCACAATAATCAATCCTAATCTAATTATACTGATGACATGAAATTGCTGGTGAGACTGAAATGCAGTATTACCTCAGAGAGAAGTTTTACACTATTCATACTCCTGTTTTACAGCAGCTCTAAGCACAAAAATCGCAGAATCACAGAACAGTTTGGGTTGGAAAGGACCTGAAGATCATCCAGTTCCACCCCCCTGCCATGGGCAGGGACACCTCACGTTAGACCATGTCACCCAAGGCTCTGTCCAACCTGGCCTTGAGCACTGAAGCATGGAGTGGTATACTCCCAATAAATGTCAGAAATTCCTTTAAGACCTCTAGATACATGCTACAAACTTGTACCAACTGTGGTAGTGTGGACCCAGAAGATGCTTCTGTTTGTGTAATACCAATGCTTAGACCAGGCCATGAGGCTGGTTTTATTGGCAACATCCACAACGCTTTGTGGTGTTGGCAGGGACGTGCTGACAGCCTTCCTGCTTAGAGCAGGACAGTGGGAGACACTTCTAACTCCAAAAGGGCAGGAAAACTCATCCATGTGGAGCTTAATGAAGGGCCATGTCTTAATTAGTCACAGAATGAAGAGTCACAAGGGAGCATTTCCCAGTTTAGTTTTGTGAATGCCTGAGATCAGTCACTGGCTGAACAATAAGACCAAATGTAGCCCTTGCAAGGAAGAGGTGCTGCTCAGGAGGAGAAAACACTTCAAAAGCTTAGAACTATGACAGCAGCAGTCAGCTTCAGCTCCATGGAGTTCTGGAATTTAGATT